CAGCAGATTATGGACTGAAACTTCCATAAACTGTGAGCTAAATAAACCTCTTCTTCTTTAATCTTGGGCGTCAGGTATTTTGTCTCAGCAATAAGAGAAAAGTAACCAAGACAGTTACTGTTTTTTGTGGCAGGGACTAGCTATGTCATCACAGGCTGGCCTCAAACTTGTGGTGATCTTCCTAACGCAGCCTACCAGCTAGAATTATAGGCATGTGAGCTACCATGCTTAGATATCATGATATTTTATGTCACTTTACCAGCTGAAATTCTAATGAACATCTATCCATCTCAAGTATTCATGTCACCTATTATTTGTATTGAAAGGGTTAAGTCAGACAGAAAATTTCCATCATGGATGATAACTGATTGGAATCATGTTTACAATGTCAAAAAGGGGTGGCATAGTAATCCTCTTATAATTTCTCTGTTCTTTACGAACCTTCGAGGATGGAAAATGTGATTCTTAGTCGGCTGAGTAGGACTGCTATATAAAGCAAACAGAGGAAAACTTCATAAATGTCAGCCCGGGTCCTCCTACTGGTGACATTAAAAAGCCATCTTTCATCAAAATCTTAACCCGGCTCCTACTGGTAGAGTATTTAACAGAGAAGGACTGATCCAGCCAGCATTTTCAACCCTCAGCTCTGATACTAACTCAAGTAACCTAAAAGATTGCTTTAGTTTTAGGAGCTCTCAGGCTGCCTTTACATTTTAGTACCAAGAATCATCTTGATCGCATTCATCTCTGAGTTTCACAAGGATTTACTATAAGCAATATCCACATAGCAAACAAGCATAACAAATTTAAGCCTGATTTTCACCATGCTGTTGATCACACCCATGCATGCTGAAATGCTCCTTATACAAAAGTAAGGGTCAGCATCCCCATGAGTTTTTAGAATGAGATCTTTAGAAATCAATACAAACTCATCACACCACCACCACCATTCAGCAATGTATTTAGGCACTCAGATCCACTGTCTCTTCCTAAACATACATTGTAGGCTCCTTCTGGGCAGGAACTATGCCTGGGGCTTCTTTACATGGCTTCACTAGTGACTGCTGACCAGCATGTGTGGTGCAAATGGCAGCTGAACTACTAAACAGAAAGACCAGCAGCGCATAGGAACTACAGAACATGTGGCAGAGCATGAGAAACAAGCCTACGATCCCACATAGCATCTGGTGGTCTTACCTTGCCCCCAGGTAGATGCCTGCACAGCCCTTTCCTACGCACCTAGCAAGGAGGACATCTACGTCTTCCCCACGGAACCCCAGGAGACAGGCTGCTGAGAGGAGGTGCCTGTGAACTCCAGGAAAGAGGGAAAACAGGGAATTCTCCCTTGTTAATCACAGGCAGCCCAGAAGGCAGAGCTTGTTCACTGGTGCTGGGCTCCCCAGCAGCACTTTTGCCTCCCACCTCCTGGGCCTGTGAGGTGGTAGTGGATGCAGGATGCTGGGGTGATGAGGAAAGGGGTGAAAAGCAGAAGATACAGAATCCATTTCTTTCTTTTAAGAAGACTCTGCAGTGACAGGAAAGCGCTGACCACAGGGAACAGTCCACTCCCAACCTGCCCTTCCCAAGACACTGATCATACTCAGGCAGCAGATCCGGTTGGTGAACTAAGGGGTGTTTACCATGGCAGTGTGCTTATCCTGACATTAAATCCTTCAGGGTTTTGTTATAAACATTTCCTGTCTTTTTGCATCCTAAGTAGAGACTCCTTTAAGCACAGGGACTTTGAAGTCATTTGGACAAGCCCTGTCAAAATCAGTGCAGTCAAGGCTGCCAAAACAAAACTTTTTAGTCAGAGTTGTATTCCTGCAACACTGGATTTATTCCACATGGATGACTCACTACTTTCTGTGGTACAGGCCCAGATCCAACAAAGGCAAGGGATGTGGCTTTTGTTCTGCAGCTGAACCGCTCAGCACTCCCTTGTGCCAGGAAGGAAAGCATCTCCTCCAGCTTTGGAAGCAGCAAGCTCTGGAAAAGCTCACAGAGCCCTCTGGGGGGCCTGTATTTACAAAGCCCTAAATTGGTAACCAGGTTCCTCCTGGTGTGGGGGAGACTGTGAGACACAGGTATAAACCACAGCAGAATTTCTGTTTAGTGTCAGAACTCGACCGGCTCCCAAATCCTAGGCTAACTGGCCCACAGGTGTACACAAGAACAGTAAAGATGGGCTGGGGATTTGCTCAGCGGCATAAGTGCCTACCTTGCAAGCTCGTGGTTGCGAGTTCCATCCCCGGTACCAATTAAAAAAAAAAAAAAAAAAAACAGTACAGATATGGCCTGGGTAGGCAGCTGGGGGTGAGGACTCCATGAAGCCCCACCCACGGCACCCACGTATGTCCCTGAGGCAGCTCTTCTGCCTCCCACTTCCACACTGTTGGAGCCTTGAGGCTGGAAATTCACCAAGTGTGCAGAGCTAGGCATGAACAGCCTAAGAACAAAGAGCGCCCGGGGCAGCCACATGAAGAAGCTGCTTCACACTAGAGAACACGCAGCCCCAAGACAATCTGAACAGTGGGTTGCTAGGACAACAGGGTGTCACGTGACATTAAGTTGCCAAACGTATAAACAAATGCCTCTGCAGTGAGGAGACAGTTCCCTTCCATCCATCCAGAGAGTAAGGGCTCCACTTGATCCCAGCCTTCTCTGTTCTTTATTTTCTCGTCCTCTCACTGTCCTTCACCCAAGGAACCTCAAGAGCCATGCGGGTCGCAGCACCACCAGGCCATTCACTGAAGGCCACCTAGAAGATTCCTAGTGGGCCTTTCTATTCCAGCTCAGTGGGATTTCCTTGTGGAATTTCTCAGTGAAATCTGCATCCTCCCCTCCCTCATCACAAGGCTAATTATCCCCTGCACTGAGCTCCTGTTCCAGCAGATCTTTCTGTGATTCTGTCTCACACACTGTATAGTAATTATGTGTTTACACATCTGGCTTCCAGAACAGATGGTGAGACTTTGGAACCAAGTTAATTATTATTATTATTTTATTACATTCCCAGCACCAGCCTGCTGCTGAACTTCGTGGCCATTTAATACATCTTTAATAAACTAACAAGAAGAGAGGTTTTAAGTGCTTAATAGTATTTGAGTTTTCCTCTGGTAATATTTTCTGTTGTCATGAATGCTATCTTTTCTTGTTTCTCTTAAGCAAGTCACCCTTTTCTTTCTCCTTTTCATCTTTTATTTTGGCTATGCTAGGGATGAAATCCAGGGCTCAGACATGCTAGGCAAGCACATGAGCAGCCCCAGACTGTCCTACTCTAATGCATATTAAAAGGATACTCTCATTAGAGTAGGCATGCAAATCTTGTTAAAGAGTCTGTATACAGTGACATGCCAAAAAATAAAGCAGTTAAGCCAGACAAAGAGAAAAGAGGAATTAGAAATGGGAAGTCCTAAGAACTGGTTTCATGTACTTTGTTGCACCATTCTTTCTTATAGTTCTTATTCAGTGATTTGTTTTGCTGAAATAACTAAAGCTCACACATGCACCTTGTCATCATGTCTAATTTACACCCAATTTTCTACATATTTGCAAACAGATCTCCTTTCACCAATGACAACATTTCACAGGAAGAGCTGAGGAAAAAAGACGCTCTTAAAGTGTGCATATTTTTGAATTTTATAACTAGAATGTGACTATAAATTATGTCTCTAAGTTAGGCTCCTCTTTTTTTCATTGCCATAATGGACTTTGATAAATGAGCCTGTACTTTTTGTACATTTTGTTCAGATGATAACTGAGAATCTTTCATCTGAAAAGACTAGAATGATGTGGGCTGAATTATACGTACATCCTCAGGGTCAGGAAAAATGATACTGGCAATCTTTAATAAAATAATTAAATTACACAAAATCACCCACTGGATAATTAATGATTTAGGAGGCTATACTGTCACAATAGATTCAGCTCCAGTGATCTTGTCCTTGTCCCCCTTTTGTGGTAATGGAGATTGAACCATGGAAGTACTGAGCTATATCCCTAGCCCCTGTTTATTTATTTAGAAATGGGGTCTCATTAAGCTGCCAAAGCTGACATAGAACTTATGATCTTCCTGCTTCAACCTGGGATTAAAAGTGTGCACCATCATGCCTGATTGCTAAACCTTCTATTTAATAATAATGCCAATCACTAGATGGGTTAGTCAAGCTGCCTATAGGGGTCTGGGGGATCTAGTCAGGATTACACGAGCTTTGAATATAAACCCATGTTTTCAATGCTCTCAATGTGTTCACAGCAGGGCTGTACTCTGTATGCCTCGCAGCTGGGTGACTCTGAACAACGGGTGGTACACATATGATTGTCCCAATGGGTGACATGGGACAGCTCCACATAGAGGTACGAGCCACCTTCAAGGAGTATCATGCATGTACCACCAGTGGTTCAAACCAGAGGGAATGTGTTAAACCACAGCAAGAGCCTCCTAGAAGACTTCCCAGAGTTAAAATTTGATGGAAAAGGACCACTAATACCAAGGAACTTGAGCCAAGCTGGGTCAGGGTACTTGAGCCATGATTTAGAAGGTTCATGGGAAAGTCACTGGACTACAAAACTCTAGTTACAAACCACCAGCTGTAATAAAAATAAGTGGGGATAAAACAATTATGACAGTTAATATTTTCCCAATAACTACAGTTAACCTGAAAAAAAAAAAACCCAAAAACTAAATCTTTGAAACATAAACCCTTTTTTCAAAACAGCTTTGGCCGTCTGTGCTTATGACAGTACACAGGAGTTTATCTAGAGTTCTTTCTTTGTTTAATTACTAGGGTGTGGGTCGAATCCTGCCTGTTTGGCTCAAGACAGAACAGCACTCTAGGTAACTGAAGAACCAACACCCCTGACGTCATTTCTTCCTTGACAACCACTTCACAACCCTGTCACAGGGGCCCGCCCTTCCTCTGCAGTCATGTTGAAGCCTTTTACATAGGTGTAGGGTGGCGAGGTACAGAAACAACCCAAGCCCGCTGTTAGCTCACCTTGAAGAACTTCCATGGGGAGGACAGTCCAGGCATTTTCCAGGTACGAAATATAAATATAGCGAGCTGTGTTGCAGGCCAGGCCAATGTACAGGACCCTAAAAAAGCAAAGGAAAATAAATCGAGGTTATGCCACTCTTCCTGAAACTTAACTAGTAGCAGAGACAATGCTGTTTTTCAGATGGTCTGGGCACACTGCCATCTATAATGACATTAGTGGCTTCCTTCCAGGAGGCTGTAGGGTAAATAAGCCTGGGAGTGTGGCCACTTCCCAGTGACGGGGGAAAGACTGATAAAAATTAAAGCATACGAACACGAATGTGGCCTCACTTATAATACCCAAGACACCATGCAATTTTACAGAGACTCTCAAGTTCACTGAAAACTACCATCTCATGATGATACATCAGGAACCATTTAAAAATAAAATACCTTTTCCTTCTGTTCAAGTAATACATATTCCTTGTTATCATGGACTTAGAAAACTAATAAATACGTATTCACCTCTTGATTCCCCCACTCCCAACATTACCGTCCCCAAAAGTCTAAGCACAAACAAAAGAAGGAGGGCTGACGTGGGGCTCCAAGCTAAGGTTACAGCCTCGCACTCCCAACTGGAAAGGCGGGTTGGTTTGCAAGCACATGGCGGCTGCTTCTTGTACAGCTCTTGGAAGAACTTCTCTTTCTCAACTGTCTCCCATTTTTTGGCTCATTTCTTTGAACCGTCTTGTTTTTCTTGTTTTCTGAGTCCAAACAGATGAAAACCAGAAGGTAAAAGAAATCAACATGACAGTGGTATCATTTTAATTTGGGCCAATGATATTTTGATATTAAATTCAGTCATATAAGAAAAGTGTTTGTTCTTTTTTTCCAGCTTTGAATCAAGGAGAAGAAATGTTCTCAGGTACGAGGTGGTATTAAGCATAACTATGGAGAAAAAGACAAAAAATGGTCATGGGGGTAGGAAGAGACAGGAAATAGATTGAAAGGGACTTAGGTGATCCTCAGTGAACAATGAAAAAGGCCTGGGTTGTCCAGTTTTATGGTCATTGAATCCTTCAAACTGGTGTTGTCTGATGAACAAGATTCTGTTTTCCTCTTGGTCAAAAATTTGGTTGAATAAACTTTTAATGAACCATTAACTGCCTACTGCCAGGGAAAGGAAATTAAAATGCAAAATACACTAATTAAAAAAAAAAAAAAGAGGGGCTAGGGATTTGGCTCAGTGGTGTAAGTGCCTGCCTGGCAAGCGCAAGGTTGTAAGTTCAATCCCTAGTACCAAAAAAAAAGTAAATTAAAAAAGAAAACCAGAACGAGTTCCACAAACCTCCTTCTGCTTCCTGTATGAGTTCCACACTAGCTCAGCGGATGACCTCTACTTAGCACAGCTTGTTCAAAGCAAGTGTTTTCTAAAAGGGGCTATGAGATCAACAGTTTAAGGGCCACACAGTCTCTGTTACAACTAGCCACCCTGTTGTGGTACCTGAAAGAAGCCAGGGATAATGTGTAAATGCGTGAGCGTGACTGCTCTCCAAAAAAACTTAGATTACGAACAATGACATTTAAATTTTACATAATTTGCATGTGTCATAAAGTCTTATGATTTTTTCCTCTAACCATTTTAAATATAAAAATGATTATCAGATGGGCAGGGATATAAAAACAAGCATCCAGCCACATGTGGCCCTTAGGCCACACATAACATTGGCAGCACATGTTGACTGGTAAATATAATATAACTGGAATTTTGTTCAACAATGTAGAGCAAATAGATAGGATTGTGAATTCATTCTGAAATTCTTGACACAGTGCAGATAAGCTATCGTGTCCCACTTTTCTAAGTTTAACTACACTATGGCTAAATGTGGCCTTAGAGACACACAAAGCCACAATGAACATGGATTTTCTCAGCAAGCACTTCCTGAGCTACCAGAAGGTACTATACGCTGTGCTGGACCCAGGGGAGAAAAGGAAGAGGAAATTCTCCTTGCCTTCAAGGAACTTAGAGTCCAGGAGGTAGAAAGACACATAAGCAAGGAAGTTAAATAAAATATGCTAAGAGACACTTGCTGGGGCAACACAAAGCAGTGGCCCGTGGCCAACTATCAGGGCACCGGGTCAGAGGAGCTGGAGAAGGGTGAGAAAGGCATCACCACCAGCAGGGACAAAGTGAGCAAAGGTTGAGCATTAAACGGTGTGCATCTGTGGCCAGAGTCAGTGTCTGGAAGATAAGAGGGTCATAATCTAGGACTGACGAAGAGGTGAAGTGCATTTCTGCAGCCCAGACACATTCTGGAAACTGTCCCACAGACAACAGCTAAATGAGCAAAATGGGCAGGGAAAGTGGCCGCCGTAGGCTCCTCCTCTCATTCTCTTCTGAGTCTTCCATGGACTCATCCTCGGTCAGAGAATGAACAGAGATCCGGCCCTGTAGGCCCCACAATGGTAAACAGACAAGGAAACGAGGCACGAGTTTGGACCCATGGTTCTCCAACCTGACGGGCTCATTATCTGGGTTTCTATTTTGTCTTAAAAATGATGCAACACCCCAGCTAAGTTAATATTCAGTATTATTCCTATGTTTTATCTCTGCTGGGAAGCTACATGTAAATAAATCAGATAGTTGCCCAGCCTGTTTGCTTTTTTAAGGCACATGAGATAATTACTGTTGCCATAAGCATTTTCTTTCTGGACAAAGAAAATGTTAGTCTGTAGAGGCAGACTTAAAGAAAGTGCTTGTTTGCTGTAAGAGTCGGAAAGCACGTATGCTGCAATGGTGACAAAACCATAGCTGGTGAGATAAACAAGATTGTATCACAGAATTTCTTTCCTTGCAGCCTTTCTGGCATAACATTCCACCCAGCTTCCTGAGCTCTGAGTACATGGAGAACCAAGTGAGATTTTAAGGTCCTAATTTCCATTCAGGTCAACTGGCTCCAAAGAAAGAAAATTCCATATACAGATGGTCCTCATTTGACAACCTACCTGTTTTGTTTTGTTTGTTTGGTACCAGGGATCAAATTCACAACTGTGTACTTGCAAGGCAGGCACTTATGCCACTGAACTAAATCTCTAGCCTGACAACCTACCTGTTTAACAACTATCCAAATTTGTGACCAAGGTGTACTGTGTGGTTTATGTCCCACTTGGCCTTAAGACTCATTTTTGGAACTGTATACCTTAATTATACAGTACTATAATTTTTGCTAATTGTACTGTACAGCACTGTTATCGGACTTTGATGTTCTATTATGCATTACAGTGATGCATGTAAGAATCATGCAAAAAAGCAACGTCATCAAGTTGGAGTTTCCTTTGACCATTTCTTTGTTCTGGATCTTGTATTGTACATACTACTGCAATTCCCTTATTTAGTGACCAGTTCATATAATGACTTAGTCGCAGGAACAAACCTTAACTGTTAAACGAGGGGTACCTGTATAGACTGAAGTGCTATTATAAATCACACCCCTCCCACTGGCTTGACTGTCTGCCGAGGTGGCATGGTGCGGACAAGTTTGCATGGATGACTCTGTGCATACTGCTGACTTCTCGGCAAGAAGCATCGGAAGTCTAAGCACAGGGGTGAGTGATGAGAGTGGGCAGGGGTGAGGTCTACAGTGTGGTTTTTCACTTGAAAAACAACCAAAGTAGAAAGCTGGCCACTAGAGTCAGAACAGTAAGAAGCCACAGCATCACCCCAACTCTCATTTCATAGACAATGGGGGAGAGGTCCAGAGAGACCAGCCACAAAGTCGGCTAACCAGTGGGCAGTCACAGTCACTGTGCACCTTGCCCTACAGCACTCTTTTGGAGACCAAGCACCGTGCCCTCTCCTCCTCTCTGCAACCTTTTGCTGTGTTGGAGCAGTCAGACTGCTGGACACACCTGTGTGTTCAGATTAAGGAAGCTGATGTGTGTCTGCACTGGCTTTAGAAGAGGAGAAGCATTTTAAACTCTGACAAATCACTGAGAAGACCAGGGCAAAAGGAAACTAGAAAGGTGAATGCCACTCAACACCTGCCCGATATCCTGGATCATGAAAATCAAAACAAAACAAACCCAGAAGCAAAGAGTTATAGGACAAATGGGCCCATGGTGGCCACAGAAATACCGGAGAGGGTGCTAAGGTGGGGTGTCAGGGAGCAAGGGCTCCACCCACTGCCCTCTGGCTGGACAGGGACACACACACAGGGCATCAGGCTGGCCAGAGCAGCCCGGTAGGAAACACCACAGAGAGAGCAGAGTGTGGCTGAACACAGGCTGCCTCTGTTGACCCTGCAGGGCTCTGGAGTAATCGGGCTGCCACCCTCCGAGCTGGACTTCAAATACAGGACACCAGAGAAAAGTCCCAACCATCCCCGAAACCACCTGGATTTGGTGTCAGCGCCCTCTTTCTTGACCTTTCACTGCTCTCATACACAGTGCAGTCCAGTCTCCACTCACAACACCAAACGCCTCCCCAGTCCGCATCCCCACGGGAGCTATGCAGCTTTCCAGTAAGGAAAATAGTGTAAGTACAGTTCAGTCAATGACTGCCCTCAACCTGTCAACCAATTTTATAGCAGGAAGTTACGCTCTGTCACTGAAGAAGAGATTTTGTTCCAACCACTCCTGTCCTCCTTTTTTGTGATATTAAGGAAGAGAAATCAGCTATAGGGGTACAGGAGACCATGTGATGCAGGGCTGGCATCATGCCGACCCCTTATTCATATTTTAATCTAATCGCCAATATTTTTCTTAGTATTTCATTTTTTCCTCCCAATCAGCTTATGAAATAGAAATGTCAAGGGTTACTGTCAATCCTATTTTACAACTAAGGCAATCAAGGTCCTGAAAGGGGAACCAAATTGGAAGGGTCACGTGGCTAACGGCACAGTCAAGGCTGAAACATGCTCTTTTCTCTCTCGTTCTGGCCCTTTCCAAAGTGAGCACCACTGCCCCACCCCAGATATTACCCTTTTGGGGAATTAAAAAAAAAAAACCCAATGAACAGCCAGGCATGGTGGCATAATTCCGGCACTCTGAGGGACTCCCAACTCAGCTTGGCCAACTTAGTGACTTAGTGAGATCCTATCTCAAAATGAAAACTAACAAG